CATTTGTGCACAACAGGTCTCAACGGGAAAAAACATAGACATTTTAAATATATTTACCATCTCAACGAAACCCTTATTTGACTCCTTAAAAGCCCAATGGTCACATATGTGTACAATTTTGAATTTTGAATTTTTTTTTCGAAAAGTTTAAAAAATTTCATATAAGCTGTTTTTATCACTTATTAAGACATGAAAATAACGGAAAATAATATCAAATATTTTTTTTGACCAAAAAGAAAAAGTCAGGTCCTAAAATGTATGTGACTTTTTACAGAATTGTTGATTTTTCAAATTTCAGAATATTTTTAGGGTAAATTTTAAGCCATACCTACCAAAGATTTTATTGACCTAAAACAACATTTATGCTTATCAAACACTAATATCAATTATACAGAAATGTCACGTTTAAATTCTAAAGTTTTAAGACGTGGTGTGTGCTATACGTGAGCGGCCATTTTTATAGCTCATTATCGCCCTTATAATGTTTTTTATGTAGGATTTGATGGAATTAACCCCTAACATTATACTATACACCAAAAATTTTAGAAGAACAAATTAGGGTGGTTTAGTATTTTATATCCAAAGAATACTTAATGGTTTCAAAAGTATTCAACAAGTACCTAAATAATAACTAAATACAATACCGTATATGGTTATGTACACTATAATTTTCACTTATCAAAATTCAAATAGGCGTTTGTTTAAATAAGTGAACAAACGTAAAAACTCTTTGTACATTAAAAGAAACTAGAAATTAATATTTAACCAAGCATTCCACACTTCTGTTGAGCTAAAAGCTATGTAAAGTAATAAATGAAAAATTCATAGAGTATGTTTTACTCATTAAAAATGCATTTATTCCAGCCGATATGGTACTCCGAAGCATATGGACTTCATTTTAAAACTCAAACATATTTCTCGCAAGTGTTAATTTTTAAACTAACTGTAACCAACGAACCTTCGTTTCGGTAAACAATTAACAAATGCAACAAAACAAACATATCGCGGCCAATGAGATGGAAGGGTTCGGAGGAATAAGTTTTTTGTTTACGCCGGTATTAACACCTGCATATACATATCACGAAGACAACCCTCGGCTTTTTGTTTGACTTTGTACTTATGAAACTTTCAACGCCCCAACTTCTTTTTGACTGGTATTAAGTGTGGAAGATTTAATTTGTTGCATATGCACATCAATGTTTTTTTGTAAATTTAAAAAGAGATAATTATTACAGAGTTTGTATTAGATGCATTTTTTTGAAAAATATATCGAGAATTTCGTGAAAATTAATATTAATTTTAAGAGGTCTATCATCGCTATTTTTTATTTTTAGTCATAATTTGATGTTTTACGTTAGAACTGTCAAAACATTAAAGTGAAAAAAATTCCTTTTCACTTATTTTTATATAAAATAAATTCTCTACAAAAAAGGTCTGATTGAAAATTTTCGTCAGACGAGCCGTTTCTGAGTAATTGAGCTCAATAAATCGATGTGTTTTTTCGATTTGCCCTTTTTACTTTGAAATTTTGTAACTAATGAATCAATGACTATTTAAAAAAGCTCACGTCGGATTCTTAAAGGAAATTCAATGTTCTACAAAAAAGGTCTCTAACATTTTAATTCTTCAAAAGTTATTCACGATTAAAATCGAAGAAAAACTTAAAATTTCAATGTTTTCTTCGTGAATAACTTTTGAAGAATTTTTCACGAAATTTTTTTTCGTCATTCTGAATGACATTTTTGATATATTTAAAAAAAAATAGTCATTTTTTTTGGCCCAGTCTACTGTATATACAGAGACTGAACATATTTTAATCTATGTTGGAGACTTTTTTAATATAATATTTTGTGGTGAAATTGCACAAATTGCCCAAATCAGCCCAAAAGGTTGCATATTGCTAAAATCACAATTTCATAATCTATTCGAATCTCCAAAAAAGACGGGGGTACAATATGAGAAAAAAACCGATTTTCTCAATAAATTTGTTCAATTCTTTTGCCGACCACTGTACCTACACATTGTTAAACTCTCTGCATCGGAACACGTGCAGCTTAAGGCACATACACGCATGCAACTTAACAACAATCACCAATAAATTTTGCCGGTTAACATGTGTTTAGTTTGTTTTAATTTGTAGAACTATTGTTCGAATGGTAAAAAGGCGAAATATCGGTATAATTTAAAATTACTTACGCGCGTACATGCGAGCTGCAATTGTACCTTAAAAGTAACTTAATAACGAACACAATAGTTATGGGTGCCCATAAAAGCGCAATATGCAAAACTTCCATCATTATGGTAGGATTCTGTGGAAATATACTGAATGACGCAAAAGGCATGTGCGTTTTTGCTGGGATTGTGAAAATTCCGAAATTGAATAGCAAATGAAAGCCAATAATTTTCTATTTAATAGGACGTTTCAAAGTGGGTTAAGGATTGATTCTTTGGTAAATTTACTACGCAAGCTATAGCTTTTCAATTTTGGTCATATTTCGAGTTAGAAACAGCCAATATCGTTGCAAAATTAATTCGTGAAATAGTCTTTTCATAATACCTATGTTATTAGTGTCATAACAGTACTATCTCCTAATTACATTGGCCTAGGACGTTAAGTTTAACAGTACAGTTTGAAGGTTTGAAGATTTGGGAGGTTTTCATAAAAAGAAAGCGTGGAAGTGAGGTGAGGTGTGAGGTTATGGAAAAGCATGCCGATGTTGGAAGAGCTCAAAAAAGTAGCAGAAATGAGGACAGAGAATACGACATCAATGAAATTATGCAGTTACTCAAAAACATTACCACACAGAATAGGAAAATGGATCAGATAATTGAAGAAAATAAATATTTGAAAGAGGAGATTTCATCAATAAAAAGTGGTACCAAATCAAGAGTTGCAGGACCTAAATCTTATTCTACTGTAGTTAAAAATAGTAGTAAAGTTCTAGCAGTGGAGATTCCAAACGAACTGGGAAAAGAATAGGGAGTGAATTAAAAACACCAAAGAAGTTCTTGTTTCGATTATCAAAAAACAAAATGATTAGGAGAATGCTCAAACCTGAAATTGAAAACAATTCTTAAGAGTAAAGTTGTCAATGCCTCTGGGATTTAAGTTTTTTCTTGAAACACTATTTCAAATTTGTCTAACCTGCTTGATTTTTCATAGAAAAAGCCTTACTCGACAAAAACCTTTGGTCATCGAGCGAAAAAGAGTTCGACACGCTTTGATTTAGCACCATTAAAAAGGCAAACACTGCCTTTTTCCCTTTAAACAACAACGATCGAGACGAGCCATTGTATTGAAATCGAGGCACCCTATACAGGTAGAAGAAGTCTAAAACACTTTGATATATGATATGAGCGAACTTAATGTGCCCGAGTGTGCTTGCCTACTTATAAACGACAGTGGCGGCTTCAAACGCATAAAAATATATCCTCGGAATGTCCCTTACATTCTTTGCTAAAATATTTGTTAAATTCAAATTTGTGTCACATAAGAAGAACTAACAAGATTAATAAAAAAACTTGGTTTGAATTTGATTGCAATTTCTTTAGATGCTGCTTAACGTAAAATTTATGAACTCACCCAAGTACCGCCACTGTTCATAAAAGTTTATATAGGACGGTGGTGCCTTTAGGGAGCCAGTGGAACCAAGGCTGGTCAATTGTTATAGCCTTAATTTATTATACTTATCATGCAGCTCAAAGCAGAAAAACAACATACTTTCGGATATTAATTTATCGATATCGGCAAACTAATGATTGTTTTAATGTCATAAGCTGTGTTGAATTTTAATTCTATAAAAACTGACCGTATTACTTAATTAGGGTGCCTTAATATACAGAGTATTTATTCTATAGATATATAGAAACGATTCAAATAATGCAGTTTTGTAAATTTATTAATTATTACACATATTTTGTTGTTAAAAGCCAACGTTTTTCCTCTATTGAATTCCTCTATAGCTTTTAATTGATGGGCAGCCACTGGAATTGTTGGCTACAGCAACAGATGTCTACTTTCGAAGTATAGTACCAATAAGAACCACCGTTGAACAACTGGTCGACTCTACTTAGTCCCTCGACCCCAACCACTAAACGTTAGGTGGGTCATGGTTTGAAGTTGAAGTTTAAACTTTAAACAAATCCAGTGTCGTTCCAAACAAAGCCTGAGAATTGAGTATTTTTTCATGATTTGTTAACCCTATTAAAAATGCCCTATAGAACCCATATTGATCCAGATAAGGAAACTAATATGGATTCTATATGTCCTATATGGAACGACCTGGTTTACACTTTGGAATCTATATGGTTTAATATGGAATTTCATTTTAAAATGTACAACTTAGGGATTTTTATATGGATTTATCTGGTTTCTGTTTTATGTGTCTTTCCATATAGGTTTCCCTATATGGTTGAATATGGAATTCCATTTTAAAATGTAAATATATTTAAACGAAAATTGCATATTAAACCATATAGATTCCCCTATATGGTTAAATATGGATCTATATGGTAATAATTTTTTCACACCCAAACCATATTGGGCCAGATAGAGCAATATGAACCTATATGGCAATCCATATAGAAATCACTTTTCTATATGGTTTTCCAGGTATGGAATTCTATCTGGTTCAATAGTGCAATGCCTGTTTCAAATTCCTATATTGAACCAGATAGATTTTTATTTTGTGTTTCTATATGGCATTTTTAATAGGGAATTCAAAAACAATAGCACTTATCCTAGATCCAATTTTATCTAGGGCACTTATGCAAAAGTGATAGATGAAAAACTTGCTTACTTTGGGGTAAACTATCATCCCTTCTCATTGTGTTACTAGGTCTTCCTATCTTGGTCCTGAATAGTTTGTAATTTATTAGCCTACACTAATGACTTTCATAGTCTCACAAGTAGAACCGTCATTTCAAATCATAAACTTTGACATCGTAAAATCAATTTATCTGTCAATTTTAAAGGTTAAAAAGTTATCCAAGCGTTCCCAATGGAGGCGGTAAAAATAAAACCCATTAAAAACCTCAAACCCAATTAAGATTTTAGGAACCAAACCCAGCAGAAGATGAAGAAGAAGCGTCTGATCAATCCACCGAAAAGCCCAACTCCGTAGACATTTTGATAATAAACCACGAAGAAACCGAATTCGTGGAGGAGGAGCAGGAGGTGAGCGTCTCCTACGAGAAAATACAGGATGTCATTGGCGGCCCGCAAAGGGACCTGATACCGCTCAGAGAGCAAAAACCGCCGCGCAAATCCCTGACGGAGCTCTACCTGAAGGAACTGAAGGAAAAATCGATTTTCGATCAAGTTTTGGGAGAATGCTGCTGCAGTCCGGGAAGACCCGCCCCCTCCATGCTCGTCAGCGGATTCGGCATGAGGAACTGGGAGTCCCTCCAAAACGCGCTGCTAGCCGACGAGTTGGCAAGGAGGGCCAGGGAGGCAGGAGACGAGGAGGAGGAGCACGAGGAGGGCTCGCACTCGATTCCGATGCCTTCGTATTCTACCTCCTCCAAATCCGGGGAGATGTCGGAGACGACGCAGACAGAATCCCTGTCAGGTACTAAAGTCCCTAGTAAATAAAGAAAGTTTGTAAATATCAATAAACATCTCCCATGTACGATAATATTAATTACAAATGTACATTTCTCCTGAAGGATCCACAATTCAAACTGAGAGGAAACGTTTGGAGTACCTTATGGGTTTGGATACAGCTGGGGAAGAAGTACCAAAAGTAGTAGTAGAGTTACCGGAAGAATCCGAGCAAGATTTGATAACAGGCAGAACTGAGATGATGAGGAAAGCTCAGAGATACTTACGGACACACCGAATATTCGAGTTCTTTCAGTTTATGATTACACTAATGCTTAGCGAAAGACCAGGTATAAAAAATCATTTTTTTTAGGCAAATATTGACGACTTATCGGTTTTAGATGACCCTATACATTTTCTGTTGCAACTGCTCGACAAATTGTTGTTGTTTAGGTCAGGAATAGGGCCAGTAGTCGTTCTCTATGAGAAAAAACATTTAGGTATTACATCTAATTTGTATTTTGTATAAAATAGTATGTATTTTTCCAGAACAACTTTTCCATTTGATGGATCGTATGAGGACAGGCTTCATTGAAAGAAGTCAATACGAAATTGGAATGAAAACCCTGGGAATTTGTATTTACGATAAAAATCCACCCCTATCCTCCGAGTGTATGGTCTCCAAAGATTTTTTTGTGGATGAGGCGTGAGACTAAACATATTTTCTACAAATACTTATTTCAACATCAAAATTTGAAACTATTTTCTCATTTTGTAGGTATGAATGTCAAATAGATATTTTGAACGATCTCATCTACACCAACAAGATCAAAACGCCCCCTCAATTGAAAACTCCCCCACCTTCAAAGGTGGGACTTGCTGCCAGTTTGCAGAGCATGTCCAGTTTTGGATCTCCCTATGTGGTCAGTCCAAGCTTCTACCAATTTTTGACCAAGAAAAAGAAGAGGATCGATGATGACGCGGTGTCCATACCTTATACTATTGGGCCGGAGGACCAATACTACGGACAATGACATGTTTTACAAAATATTATTTTATAAAATGTATAAATTGTATTGAAGTAAAACACAAAACAATAAATTCTATGAGGTTTTATTATGAAACGTTCTCATGAGGGTCTATCTTACCAATACCAAATCACCATTTTTGCCCTATTAATATCAATAGCAGACATCTTACAGATACGGGCATTAATATCCTAATTGTCATTTCTAAAATTAACAATAAAAATACCATATCGTGATTTTTATTTTACTTACGCTTTAAAAATGCAGCTGAATATTCTCTTGAATAAAGAATGGTTGGATGGCACTCTACGCAGTGGTTCCGTTTGCAATCCGGTGCTTATGTTGGTGTATTGGTATATCACCTCGACTTTGGCGGTTTCTTTTTCGTCGATCGTTTTTTCCGGCGTTTGAATGTCATCTTTTTTGCCTGTGTCCTCTGCACACGGCGCGCCAGTGTGGTAATAGGTGCTGTTTTCTATCTGAGGAAAGGTGCGTCTGGGTTCCAGCACTATTTTGTCGTCTTCCAGAGTTAAAGTACTTGTGGATATCGAACTGACCATTGCAGTGATATATAATGAAACGTTAAATTTTGAATGTTATTGACGTAAATGACGTTTGTGACAAAAGGTTGTGTTCAGAACAAAGTTGCTCTTTAATCGGAAGACTTATATTAATATTCTATCGATGTATTTCTTATATAACAGCGGGATGTTTAGAGAAACGGACGGGTAAGTTTTTATGCTGGTTATAGGTTTTGAATTATTGAATTTATGCTGTCGATTGTTCTTCGAGATATTTGTGGATCGTGCCATCATTAATTTTAAATTCACTTTGTCTACCCTTCTTTAGACGGTAGGTAAACGATCAGCGTTATGTTTTTACAGATTTTGAATATTGCAGACTCAACGAATAGTAAAAAATGCAATTGATTAATTTTATGGCCTGAACCACACGTTAAAATACTTGAGAACCCTTTAAGTTGCGGAGAAAAAACGAGCACATGTTCGGTACGTGTTTACCATGTCTGCTGCGTATCAGAAAAAACCATCAAAGTCATCTACCGATATTGTCTGGAAACGTAAACATACCTAAATAAGACAGTCCACGTAAAAAGCGCATTCGTGCTGAATATACTAATGCCAGCTGACGAATTCGTTTGAATGCAAGCGAAACTGGCTTTTTCTAAATATGGCAACCGAGCACGGTTAAGTTAAGTTAAGATTGAATCCAAGTGGTCGCAGAAAGTTTTCGATTAAAAATTATCGGGAAAAATTTAATTAATCTTCTCTTAACCGACAAGATTACAGCGCACAAAAAGCCTTATTAATTATTTTATTAATAAAGTGTCGTAGCTAGCGTGGTTCATAATTTAATTAACACAAACGTGATTACATACTATGAACTTAATGATATCTTTATTTTATTAAAGCTTTTAACCATAGATACTTGATACTTTGAAAAATGGAAACACCCAACGGTTTTGACTAACCAAGTATTTTAGACAGTAGATGGATCTAATTACCTCTCACCGCTGTCGCTGCATTATTCTACAAAACTACAGTGTGCTTTGGCTTTTTGCAAATATATTTTTGGTTAATCCTAGAATTGACTAACACTGAGTCAAAGGTTGAACCAATGTCCAAAACGTGTGTTAACTTGTTATAGGTAGGTATATATTTTTACAACTATTTATTCCCCTAAACTATTTACATAAATATATAAATAGCAGATATCGACTATGTACACTGAACATTGTAAACCAAGATATTATTTAAATAAAGATAACATTTAAAAAGGTTTTCTGGGATCAAAAATTAAATACAACGAAAAAATATATGAATAAGTTAATTTTTTAACATTTTTGGAAAACAAATATTTGTATTTTAAACCTGCTACGCAATTTCTTTATTTGGATAACAAAACAAACAAATTTTATCAATTTTGCAAAATATTGCTAACGAGATCTTTTTTGACTTAATTTGTGTTTTTTTATACCGAATAGAATCTAATTTACAGAGTTTATTTAAAAATAAAAAATCATTAATGGTTTACATTAAAACTTGCGGATTTCCCGATTTCACTATTTGTAAACTAGTAACTAAATAATAATCCCTTTTTGTTTTCGATTTAAGAAATTCCCATAACGGGGTAATTTTTAATAATTCAAATATGGGTTTTTCGTGGTGCTGCCAAATTTCTAAAAATTCCAAGAACCTGCGAATTTTTTAAAATACATTTGTTAATTCATCTTGCACTATTTAACGTTGTTGCCAAATTTATACCTCCTTTTTGCTTTTTTTAGTTATTTTTTTGTAAAAATTTTCTTCACATAGCAATTTTTTCGCCACGTCGCCAAATTTAAAAAAATCGAATTTAAATATGTTTTTTTGCGGTATTGCCAAATTTTTAATAAACCCAAGAACTTGAGAAGTTACAATGTTGCCCAATTTCCAAAAATTCCGAGAATCTTGGATTTTTTCAGTATACCTTAAGTTAGTCATCTTACACTATTTAACGTCGTTACCAAATTTCCAAAAATTCCCAGAACCAGGAAATTTTTCAAAATTTCAGACTTTTATGGACTTAATAATTTATTTTTGTTTTTTTTTTTCAGAAGGCGATGTACACAAAAAAATTGTTCGTGTTTTGGTACTTGCAGCTAGTAAAAAATAAATAAATAAGCACTTTAGTTCTCTAATAAATGAAGTGCTTATCAAACAGCGAACTACAAAAGTATACTTTTATTGTTTATGTCTATTATAAAATTCCCACCGGACAAGTAATTTTGGTTCCCACGGGTGCACCCCACCTTCACACGTGGCGCCACGTGGCCACCCTCCTGCAAATCGAAAGTCCTACCGGTACAAAAACTAATAATAATGGCGATTTATCGAAGCGTGAACACTAACTTTCGATTTGTAATAAAAGTTTTACGCTGATCTAATATAATTGCTCTGCTGCTTGTAATCATTGTTAGTTTTTTCTTTTTTAAAAACTTTATTTTGTTTTTTATCTGTTCCAAAACTAACTTACAAAGGATTTCCATTAACGTTGGTAATGATTAAAATTACTAAACATGTTAGTATCTACCCACACAAAGAAAAATTTCTTCATTTTCATTTCTTCTTTTCATTTCTTCATTTATGAAAAATTATGCTCCAATGGCATGGCACTGTTTTTCAAACAGATTTTTCTCTACCGAGAGCCATATCAGGTTAAAACATGGCCAAGAATTGTTCTTTTACCTTTGGAAAAGTTTTGCCATATTTCTATGATTTTTGTGCAATTGCGATGACCAAGAATAAGTTATCAAATTGTGCCATAACAAATTTTTTATGTTTATTTGGACAAATATTCATTTTCTTCACTACAACTTCATGCAAATGTAAAAATTAACAAAAAATAAGTACATAATATATAACTATGTAAATTTATACTACTTCAAAATTAACGAGGGAATAACAATCTTCGAAAAGTAAGAAATTGTATAATAATTGAATTATTTATTAAAAAAATTTAAAGCCGTTTAAAACACCTTTAGTTAGTGCCCGGATGATTATACTTTTTGTAATAACTTTCACACAAGCACTTTTTTACGCCGTTTTTTGTAGAGAAGGTCTTCAAATATTAATTAACTTTTTACCAAATAAACCCCAATAAATGTAAAATATCGTTAAGCAAACTTATAAGTAGTTGGAAAAAAGTTGACTAATTTCTTTCCCAAACCATGGTTATCTGGGTCATTATTAAAATTACTAAACATGTTAGTATCTAAGATCTTTATCGTAAAAATTATATGTCAAATTTAAATTATGTCCCACCATTACACTAAGCTTAACTTCCCTTCTCCACAAATACGGCCACCCTTGCCCATCGCATTACGAACTTTATTGGGGTAGTCGTCGAATTTCGATCCTTTGTTGTCTTTCGAAAAAACAGACACAAAGGACACGTGCTCGAGAGGATAATTGTGGGAAACAAGTACCAGGCAGGGTATTGTTAAAAACATCGTAAAAACTACGGTATTAAAACGATTTATTGTTGTTTGGTTAGGAAGTCAATTGGACAAGTTATAGTTATATTTTTTCACCAGTTCACAAATTTCTTTTTTATTAATTTGTAAACCATTGTAACAACCAAAATAAAAAAAAAATTTTTGATGAAGCCTTTTATTTCTCGATCTGCCAAACGGAAATAAAACGCGTATCAACACCAATATAATTACATAATCATATGTGAAGTAAGTGCATGTAGACGGGCATAAGTGATGGCATATGTGCGTATGTTTGTGCGTACTATTGCTCTGTGGCGGTATGACTCTGGCAAAAGTCCCACGAGAACCGAAACTTAACTTTTGTTGTATCGTTCGGTCGCCAGTAGCGCCCCCCGAAACATCAACGAAATGCTGAGGGGTCCAAGATAATTTTTGTAATTAAACAAAGTAAAATAACTATACCATGTCCTATACCTAGAGTGAATAATTTTCGAGTTATTACATTTTTCGTTAAAATTTGACAAATGTAACACCCGGTAATCTCTATAAATATGAATTAGTCAAAAATGACTAATTTAATAGTTATTAGTGGCTGCATTTTCACTTGTACAGGGTGATCCCCTATAAGGTCGCCCCCCTTTAACTTTTTTATTTTAAGTGTCCGAAAAAATTTCAAAGTGTGGTTATGTAGGTACTAAAAAATACTTTTTTTCTACGTATAAAGAAAATTGGAAAATTGATCAGTATACAGGAAAAAACAAAAAGTTTATTTTTTTTTCAATGGATCACCCTATAAATGTATTTATTTTTCAATTCCTTGTAAAATTCTAAGCATATTTCATATAACATACCATAACCTAAATTCAACCGTTTCTGAAATATTTAAATTATTTTTAGATAATAAGTTGAAATAGTTTGTCTTTCTCTGTCTGAGTAGGCCATTTTTACTTATTTAGCAAAACATATTGACATAATGTCACTATAATAATTTATTTTCAATAAAAATTTTGGTATACTGAGGCTTCTTGATTTCTAACAGTTTAAAAAAACATTAAATGATAACATTTCGAATGCGAATATTTCAGAAACAGTTGAGTTTAGGATATGGTTTGTTATATGAATTATGCTCAGAATTTTACAAGGAATCGAAAAATAAATTCATATATAGGGTGATCCATTGAAAAAAAATAAACTTTTTATTTTTCCTTGTATATTGATCAATTTTTAATTTTTTTTAATACGGAGAAAAAAAGTATTTTTTAGTACCTACATAACCACACTTTTAAATTTTTTGGGACACTTAAAATAAAAAAGTTAAAGGGGGGCGACATTATAGGGGATCACCCTGTACCATGGTTAACCATGGAATACCATGGTATCACAAAATTTAACAGCCAATTCTTATGTAAAATTGTCCCCTGAATCCGAAAATGTCGTCAAAAGTTAAAAAAAAAGTACAACAAATTTTGAGATATAGTCAATTTTCCATTTAATATGGAATTGACTATATCTCAAAAACTGCTCCACTTTCATAATTTTTGACGGTATTTTCGGATTCAGGGGACAATTTTACATAAAAAATGGCTGTTAAATTTTGTGATAC